GGGGCGGGTCCACGCGGCTCTTCTCACGTCCCGGCCCCGCGCTCTCCTGGGGGTGAGGCAGCTTCCGGGCCAGGGCCTCCTCCGCCCGGTCCTGGCTGCCCCGTTCCAGCCTCCGCCTGCTCCCTGCGGCCTCGGGGACCAGGACCCAGAGACAAGTGGAGCTCGTGTGAAGTTTCCCTGGAGACGAGCTGCTAGCTCCCGGGAGGAGGAGAAGGAAGGGCAGGAGGGGACAGGAAGTGTGGGAGGGCCTGGCGCCTCCATCACTGCGTCCCTCGGCCCAGGGCTCAGTGTGGAAAACCCGCCTCGACCACTGTAGCTCTAACTACGATTTCCTCTGCTGCGGGGAGGGGGTTTACTGTGGGACTTTGCTCTGTGTCATAAGGTTTGGCGATTCCTTTTCATAAGAAAGGAGATGGCTTTAATTAGAGTAAGTTAATAATTAAAGCTTCAAAGAGCTACGGAGCCACAGAATTTTCCTGAAGGGAGGACATGGAACCGGCCGAGGAAACAGATTGTCCATGTGAGGCTGGGGACCGCAGGGGGGCTGGCGGCCTGGGCTGCCCCGCTCACAGCCCTGCCGCGTCTGTCCGTCTGTCCGCGGTGTCAACAGGTCCTCTCCGAGCAGGGGGACGGCCTTCGTGCCCGAGGTTCGGGATGGAGGGGGCTTGAGCTCCTGGTGGGCGGGGGCACTTCAGATCCCCGGTCCCTGCTCTGTCCCAGACGGGCTCCGCACTTGATGGCAGGAGCCAAGATACATTCGTTGAACAAAAGAAGAGAAACAAGGCCCGATGGAGGGCAGGGGAGGGCCGCCCGGAGCCCGGCCGCCACGCGCAGCTTCCACCGCCAGAGGGCAGCACACAGGCCCAGGCCCGGGAGCCCGGAGCCTGCCCTGGGGCGGCCCTTCCGGCTCCGAGAGGTCCCTCAGCTGCTCCAGGGGCCTGAACTCCCTGCTCTGGAGCCTCTAAACCCCAGATCCACCCCGGGGTCCCGGGAAGAAAAAGAGCAAAACAAACACCACAGACGGGCAGGCCCCGGCTTTTTATAGACGTGGGGCGCCGATGCCGCTTAAAACCGTCCAGCCCTCGGCCCGCCTGCTGCCTGAACCTTTAAGATTAAATAAACTCTATCCCCTCGTACTTGACGTCCCCGACCTTGGTCTCGGGCAGCAGGAAGCGCCCGTCCAGCGTGAAGGCCATGATGTAGGTGGCGACCTTGCCGCCGTCCTCCTCGGACTTGAGGGCCACGATGACCTGGTCGTCGGTGTTGGGCACGAACTTGAAGGAGGAGAAGCCGTGCGTGGGCACCACCTCCCCGACGCGGCGCACGGAGA